TGGAGTGGACATCAGATTTTGTGGGCAATAGAAGAAGGGCAGTTAATGCTAATGGGTGGGCAGCTGAAGATCATACCCTACACAGACTAGAGGTGAGCCAGGCACAGCGGCTGCTTTGGGGGTTAGCGCTGCAATTTTTTTCTAACCACAGTTGTTTTCCTACACATTAACCTGACTGAATGCAGGTATTCTCAGTCTTTGGTTACATAAGACATAACCAACAAATCAAACTGCAAATGGAAACATTACATTACATACAGAATATATTACATTATACACTAACGGGACTATGCAGGGGTACAGGATCAGTGTGAATGTCATCCTCTCCAACCCTTAATAATACAGCAATGGATATGTGTTATATTTGCATGCAAGCCACATAGCAGCCGCATGCCTATTGTTATGCCACTATCTTCCACTGTCTTGACTGTCTTCTTTATTTTAGAAGCCTTTGAAATATGCAGATCAGGCTACAATTTTCCAATCCTAGCATCAACTGTTTAACCTAAATTTGTACAGCTACCAAGAGTTTTGGGAGGAGCAGTCAATCCACTGTAGCAGTGCAGACCATTTGAGGAATCAGAGGTCATCAGGAGCAAGTGCTCTTGCTAGACTAGAAGTGACTGACCCGTAGCGGCATGGACTGAAGGTATGCTGCAGTATCTGGCACCAAAGCCATTTGAGCTACAGTAGCCCTTCTATTGTATTCAACTACACGAGCTAGCCTTTGCTTCCCACAAGCATCAATGAGCCTTGGCTGGCCATGACCCTGTTACCGATTCACCAGTTTTCCTTCCTTGGACTATTTTCAGTAGGTTCTTTGCACTGCAGTTTTGGAGTTGCCCTGGTTCAGAGAGCTGCAGTTTTGGAGTTGCCCTGGTTCAGTTATCTAGCCATAACAATTTGGCCCTAGTCAAAGTTGCTCTAATCCTTACACTTGCCCATTTTTTCTGCTTCCAACATATCAACTTCAGGGACAAAATGTTCACTTGCTGCCTAATATATCCCACCCACTTCCAGGTGCCAACTTAATGAGAAAATCAATGTTATTCACTTCATCTCTCAGAGGTCATAATTATGGCAGATCGTTGTATATTTGGTTTATCCAGTCTAGATACCCTGTTTCCCCGAAAATAAGACCTACCCCGAAAATAAGACCTTTGTGCTATTTTTGGGAATTGCTTAAATATAAGACCTACCCCGAAAATAAGACCTAGTTGTGACCATTCCCAGGGCCGGTGGTGGCATAAGGGGAAACTTGAAGAGCCGCTGGAGAGAATCAGCGGGGCCCACGAAGCCAGCGCTAGAGGAAGCGAGGCGGCAGCGGAGGGAGCAGAGCCGCATATAAGCCGATGCCTCCTCTATAGCGCCGGCTCCTGTCGCAGGCGGAGTGATACCAAATGCACTCCGCCTGTGAGGAATTGATAGTGAAAGCGCGCTTCGCTCATTCTGGCCAGCGATTGGTTACCAAATTGCTCTTGGAAAGGTACGGCACCCTTGACTGCCCTGATAACCCTATTCTTAACTTTGCCACTCACTCCTGTCTTGTAAGTCTTATACCGGTAATAAGTGTGGATTGTTGTACATAAAAAAGTGCATTTTGTTGAGTCAAAAAAAATATAAGACACTGTCTTATTTTCGGGGAAACACGGTATGTATACAAACAGCAGAGTCAGGTTAGTGACCTCATTTTCCTCTGCTGCATTTAACCAATGCACAAAGGTCGCCTCTGAGTCCATGGGTTGTTACTTGTCAGTGATTAAACAGCAACAGACCAAAAAGGTTACCTCTCTTTGATTCAACCACAAATATTTCCCCAAAGATTACTCTGGTTGTGCCTTGCTGATCTTTCCCCTTTCTCCTTCATAGACAGTAGCATGAATCTTTAGGTGATCCAATCTTTCGGTGATATTCTGCCCCTAAGTCTTATTGCCACCTAATGTGATCAGCTTAATTCAGGTGAAAATACATATTCATAAAACTGTATGAATTACAAAGGAGTGCAAGATATCAGAAATTCCCATTGACACCTACTCGAGGAGGTACTCCAACTAACTTTTTTTTATTATGGGCACTTTAAATATATCTTAAAACTACAGTCTTATATATATATTGACTGTGCAATGTGCCTAGTCGTATGACCTGGTTCTTGATTGCAATTTCCTTCTTACTTCACTTTTGGAGGTTTACGGTGAGATAAGCTTTGTGTCACAGTAGACATTAGCAAATGCAAATGTCACCTGCACTCCAATACGAAGATTCACGTCAGTGCAAATCCATTTTATTGATAGATGTCAAGAAGGCAAGCTTTTTCGGGGCTGCACAGGGCCCCTTTCATCAGGCTCAATAATGACAGTAGAAATTAGGTCACATGGCTTCACTACTATAGTATTTAGATGATGCCTGCAATTCTATATATTTTATGGGGGGATTTCTAAACTGTTTAGATACAAAACTTTTACTTGCACAGTGGAATCATTAGCTGTCACAAATACATATTCAACGCGTTTGGGTACTAGCTTTACTTTATTCACTGAGCTAGATTCTCTGCTCTTCTAATCAACTGACCCAATGATTTAAATGGGATGGACCAGGTATCACAGTAGCACATTGTAATGTCAGGTTCAAAACTTCTTTTATTTTCAGTTTCCAAAGAAATTCCAGAGCTGTTTTTGTAATGCCTCATATCCACAGCAGGTGGCAATGGCATAACACAGTGCCAGTATGCATTATGTACAGTATAAGCAAGTACCTATTACTAATTCAGTAAATGCTGTTATTATTATTATTACTATTATTATTATTATTACTACTACTTTTTATCTTTTATCTTATTCTTCTTTGTAGTCGTCATTGTTGTAGCAGTAGTAGTAGTATTGTTGTTGTTGCTGCTACTACTATTACATCTTCCCAAAGTTAAACCACTACAAGCATTCCAATATTAAAAAAATATGTGGCATTCAAGTGAAGAATAGGCAAGATCGAATGCACTGATTGGTTTTCCAAACTCTGAAAGGGAGGAAGATCAGGTAGTAGGTATTGCACTGCAATGTCTAGTGTATGTGTGGAATAATCTCAGTGCACTGAGGAGGTCATATGCAATAGTAGGGTGAATCATACACTGAATAGGGCCTGTAGACTGAAGCATACCTCCCAACCTTCTGAGATAAGAAAGGGGGACGACTAACAGCACAATGAGGGGAATTTATCATTTTAGCAGACAAAATCTGGAGCAGTTGTCCATTGAAACCAATCCACTTCGATCTTTCTTTTTCAGAGCTTAGGTGAACAAACTGAAAATAGAAGCTAATTGGCTGTCATGATTTTGTCTGCTGCAGTTTAGATAAATTCCCTCCTCTGTATTTAGTCAAAGGATAAACCCCTGCCACACCCCCACAGGTAATACAGACCACTTGGAATGTACTGTATATGCCAAAAATAATTTCTTAAACCCAGAATGGGGGGGGTTTCCCATTTTTTTATGTTACATAGTTGCATAGTTAGTCAGGTTGAAAAATTATGCTGGCCTTTTGAAATAGCAAATAATTTAGAGATAAGATGAATGTTTTAGTTAATAGCACTTTTAATAATTTAATAGAACCTTTTCATAGATATCTGTACATCAGACCAAAATGAGGGACAACTGAGGAGGAAAGAGGATTTGGTTCCAAATGAGGGACAGATGAGAGGTATGGACCAGAGACTGAAATGAAGATAGTGGCATCCTTCGACAATCTGGAGAAGAGACAAGACACCACCAGAGCCATTCATGTGCTCCAGCACACAGAGCTGGGAGTAGGTAAGTTTCCTTTAAAGGAGAACTATGAGGTGAGTGCTACAGCTCGTGGTATACTGAGCCTAGGGGGACGGGAGGACGCTAGTTTGTATCCTCCCGTTACCCTAAGGAGAACTATGCGGAAAAGCCTTAACCACATAGTTCTCCTTTAAATTAGAACAAGGATGGAGCTTTAATCTAATATTAAACTCTCAAACTTTTTTCAATAAGGAATCCAGATCAAACAAATACACATTGCCCAGCAAAGAATTTCTTTAAATTGTTGTCCAAGCGCTTACACTCATCATGTTTCCAAACAGCCGACTCCAACCCTCTCAGCTGAGCTTTCCTCAACTTTCTGTCCAGTACAAGATCACAAAGGGACAGAGAACTCTCCATCAACTATCCATCTACATGCTTGGAGAAGGGAGGAAGAAGTCAAGAGAAAGTAGAAAGGAGAAGATGATTAGATTGCCTTGCTGTGCCTGTGTGTTTGTGGAGACACAGCCAGCTTACTATCACACACAAGGGTGGCTCCATAGGACCATGCAGGGAAAAAGAGCAACCCTAAAACAGAATATCAGGGCCAGTGCTCAGGGGACCAACTGATTCTGCAGGAAACTAAAACTTTTAAAGATCAAGGAGCAGCATTCATTGTAAGTGATTTCATCAGCATTTGAAATAGCTGAAAATCCTTATCACTTTAAATGTGTGAATTAGTATGAGCACATATCGAAAAAGTGCTCATACTAATTTTCAGTACAGAAGAAGTCATTATTATAGCAGCAGGTGGTAATTTTAAAAAAATGTTCCTTTTAGCACTAAAAATTGCAAATGCTACCGAGAATGACATTGACTATGCTGTAAAATTGGTCATATCGAAAAAGTGCTCATACTAATTTTCAGTACAGAAGAAGTCATTATTATAGCAGCAGGTGGTATACTCCAGCAGTCATGAAGAAAGAGAATTGTGTGTTTTTTTTGGCTGCCCTGGCATGGTTCATCAGGGGGCCCTGCTGCCACAATGACCGCCAGTGTCTGACATAAATGAAGTTTGATGCAGCTACATCTAGCAGTAATGCAAGTACCTGGTGCAAAATTGTCATGAGTTTCTTTCACCCCTCCCTTCTGTGTTGTGGTTATAATAAGGAAGTCCCCATGTTTCTGTTTCCTCTGCATCTCTTGTGTTTTAAACAGGAAACTGTAACACACAGAATAAGAGAACTAGTAGAGAGCATTTACTCTGCAGAACTTGATGTTTTATCTGAAGATACTGAGGTCCTGACGCTGTAGTCAGAGGGGTGTCCTCTGCAAACACTGCATCTAACTGACACTTCCTGAGATGCCACTGTCCTGGTACCATGGGAATATCACTCGCTCCAAAGCTGAGGATCTGCTGTCACATGCTGGCAAGGATGGGAGTTACCTAGTGCGAGATAGTGAATCGGTTTGCCGGGCGTATGCTCTTTGCGTGCTGTAAGTGAAATGTTGCTTATCATGGTTGATTGGAGATAAGTGTCTTACTCAGAGTACGCAGATGTTTGCTGTGGAAGGTTGTAGGAAGGGTGAGTGTTGCTCATCACAACCAACCAGTTGTCTGCTTCCATTTGTCAAACCTCTCGTAGAAATAAAAATAATCTGGATCATTATTGGATGCTAATCAATGTTTTCACTACCAGAAGTTTCCAGAAGTTTATTGTCAACTGTTATTGAAATGTTGTTTGGCTTGGGGTACAGCTGGATAGATTTAAAGTATATATAAAAGCCAAAATATTTTGGACAGAGTAGTGGAGGGTTACAACTGCTATAAGTATTTTTGCCATTTGTGCTTCATTATTCACATTCTGTCCTGTAGGCTCAATAAGAAGTGACTGGATATCTTTACTATGCTGTCTGATTATTCTCGGTGATCTATTACAGAACCATGCCTCTCTATGTTATGGAGAATAGGAGAGGGGTGGGGTTCTATAGTCTTAACTACTTTCTGTTGTCCTGATGTAGGTTAAATGCTCATTAACTGTAGGGGGTAGAAGAATGGGCTGTATTACTTATTGTGTACATTGCTCTGGTAGGGCCCAATGCTATCCTCTTCTGCCTGACCTGTGGGTGGTTCCTTAGTTTATTCACATACAATGGTGTACTATAAAGCTGTATAAAACCTATAGATTTTCAGCAGATTTTTGATGGTCATATGGTAAAAGTGCAACAGATTCCTTCATCTACACCAAACTGTGTGGATGGAGGAATCTCCCACTGGGCCAAGCTTCAATATCTTGCTAGTCGACCCCGCTGGATCTCAAAATACCTGAACAATGCCTGCATCCAATCAGATTTTTTAGGTAATTTGACAGCCAACAGGGCTGACTTGCAAGATACTGAAGGTTGGCCCAATGGGAGATTCCTCCATCCACAGTATTTTTTTCTTCTGTCTGGAGTTGGGCTTTAAAGTGATACTGAGCTCAAGAGTTAAATCTTAAAAATACATTCAAGTAGCCTACTTATTAACAGAAATGTCTCATATTTGTGTATCACTCTGCTGTAGATCCTCAGATCAGCTCCGAGTTGGTGCTGACACTGTCCTTCCTTCTGCTTTCGTTTCCCATGGTCCCTGTGTGTGATGTAAAGTAGCCATCACTCCAAGATGGCTCCCGTGATGGACTACAATCTTGTGTTTAGTTTACTAATTTGTATTGAGATTGTAGTCCATCATGAGAGTGAGCTTGGAGCAGTGGCTACTTTACAACACACACAGGATCATGGGGAACAAAAGCAGCCACCCTCCAGATGGAAGGACAATGTCAGCAGCAATTCAGAGACGATTTGAGGATATGCAGCCGAGTGATACACAAATAAACTACAATTTTGTTAATAGTTAGGGTACTTCAATGCCTTTTTAAGATTTAACTCCTTACTTTAGTGTCACATTAGGAAATTTTAAAAAAATTACAACACTGAGCCTTCAAAAGTTAGGCAGCAATGACAGCTCCCATATTACTATCCTGTCTGATTCTCTCTAGGGGTATCTGTACTTCATTTTAAACTTTTAAAAGTAAAAGTCCTACCTAAGAGCAAATGTCACAAGTTACCCGTTACTTCCTTGGTTAGCCAGAAAGGTCTCTTCAATGTTCCTCTCTAATTTAGTTTCAGTTTGGTACTGGGCTTGACTAGCTGTGACTTAATGGCTAAGCCTCGCTGACTGTCATCTTCCCTGTCTTGTGAGAGTCTCTTTACTGGACAGTCTGGCTTTGTCATGCTAGAAAATTGTCATGCTAGAAAATGTTTCGATAGCCAAAACTTTTTTTTTTTTTAATTTAGTAGTGAGTATTTAAACGTTTGTCAGGTTTTTTTTGCCATTTCTCCAGTGAGGGAAATATCTTCCTATATAGCTGTCATTTGGATGATTTTGCCTAAACCTCCTGTTCATGTAGCTCTAAATCTTTCATCCCCTCCTGCTTTGGATCCTGATGACAATGTTCATCAGGACAAATAAAGGGGGGCATTTCCCCAGTGGGGGTACAGACAGAAAAAAAAACTGACAATGAGGTTATAATCCCTCATTGCTCTATATAAAACTAAAAAAAGTTTTGGCTTTAGAAACATCTTACAGATAACAGTTTTATCTGCTTATAGTTTGCCCTCCCTGGTTCTCCATTTAGACCCTCATCAACATGATAATTACATTTTTTAACTTAAACCTTTCTGTTTTCGAGTAAAAACCTTATTGTACACCCAGTGACATCATCACTGGGTCTCTGAGCTTCCCGAAAACATCACAATAACTTACTTTAGTACTCCTCTTACGAGCTCTCAGCCTTGATGCAAGCAGTTGACTGGCTCCTGGGAGCAGTTATACACATTTTAAATACATTGATAAGTGGATGTCAATCTAGAGGAACAAAGCAAAGGGTCCCAGGCTACATTTTGTGATTGGCCAGGAGGAGAGCGGGTTGAAGTTGCAGCAAGCGGCCCCAGAGTACAGTGGGTGCTGTACTAATCGGGTGATCGAATAAACTAAATTTATGGATGCTGGAGGCAGCTTGGATGATCAGAACTGTGAAGTTCCATCCGATACCCAGCACCCATCTAAAACTGTCCAGCTAAAGCTGGGTCAGCTAAATGCATTCCATGCACATCAAAACAAAAGATGTGCAAAGCCACAATGTGAATAGAAAAGCCTATATCATGCCAGTTTGCTGCAGAGTGGGACCCTTGCTCTCTGTGAGGAAGCAGTGGTGTCTTTGCAGAGTTCCAGCTTCTGTAGTGAGACCACATCTTCCCCGCAGAAAGCAAGGGTCCCACTCTGCAGCTACTGTAAGGCCATACACCTTACAATCATCTGCAGATTTTCTGTGGTCAGATGGAAAAGGTGCAACAGATTCCTCCATCTACACCTAACTGTGTAGATGGAGGAATCTCCACCTGGGCCAATCTGTTGCACTTTTCCCATCTGACTACAGAAAATCTGCAGATAATTGTAAGGTGTATGGGCACCGTTAGAAGGAAAATCGTACGAGAATCGAGCAGTGTGAACAAAGACGTGCGACCGTTTCTACTGTACGGTCGCACATCTTTTGTCGAACCAACATGCTCGAAAACCCGCCGAGAATCGTACGATTGTCGGCGGGTTTCTAGCCTGCTCGTCCGATAGCTCTGGAACGGGCCGGTGTGCGCACGTGCACACTGCCCGTTCTGCATTGTGGTCATCGCAAGCCCGCCCCTCAGCGGGGCGGGCTTTCGATGATCGCAAGTACGATCTACCCGTCCAAGGTGGGCAGATCGTACGAGCTTTCAGTAAGCATACGACCATCGCAAGACAAAAGTCTTGCGATGGTCGTAAGGTGTATGGGCACCTTTAGACATTGAACACCTTTTGTATTGATGTACCTGAAATGTATTAGTTGATTTAGACTTAGAGGGCTCAATTGGGTTTTAAAAACCGTATTGCCTGATAAGCAGCCCTAATTTAGCCTACCATCACTGGAAGCTGACTAATGGAATTGTACATCCACCTATGTTGCAGATGAATTGGTTAACTACCAAAAGTATTTAGACCCCAACATTGGAACTAGAGGTACTTTATTCTGTTGAAGTTGCTATTTATGTGTATGATTTGGGGTTCTTTTGAACAGTAAAAAAATGTAGAAATGCAGAGAACATCTCTAATTATCAGCAAGCCCACAGAAGATTACTAACAGTGGCAATAGCAATAACAACAAAAAAAACCACAACATTGTATATTCAGAAGCACTTCAAAGAAGAAATTAGTTCATTTAGGTATCTCAGAATTGTCATGGTTGTATTTTTGAATGTACGAAAACTACCATAAAGGAACAATCCTATCATAATTTAAAAATACACATTGAAATATATACTGGGATCCCATGCTTCCCACTCAGGGCTTCAGTCTTTAATTGAGGTATAGCTGTACTGGTCCAATCAATTTCAGTCTCTTTAATTGATAATCTGGTTATCTGGGAACCCCAATGTTATAGCAACAGAGGTTGCTGCTGCTCTTGAGAGGGGCCCCGGCCAACTTTGGCCCTGCCTTGTGGTGACACATAGAATGAGTGGAGACCTTACCAAGGAGATAGGTGGTAATAGGTAGGCCACAGGTATCCTTGGCAGCAGTGCATGGGAAAGCTGTTAAGGGCCAGTATAGTGATTGACTCTACAGCTCACATGACTGGATTCAAGGGATGTATGTCATTGTCATCTGCACCAGCTCTTAGCAACTTCCACATTCTCTGTAATGCGGGATAGTTTGATAGCACCTCTCCATCCAGTGTCCTCTGTGCTAATTGTTATTGTTACTGAGAGGCACAAAGGGTGGAGCAGCCAAGGCAGAGATAGTATAGGAGAGACCATTAGAGGGAGAAGAAGTTGGAGTAAGGTCCAAACTTTCCACTAGGGCTTGTACTTCTGTACCTTTGTTTCCTTGTTGGCCCCTTGCAATCACTCACATACAGAAAACCTGGGCAGCACAATGGCTTAGTGGTTAGCACTTGTGCCTTATAGCACGCGGGGTCACCAGTGCCAATCCCAGTCAGGACACTATCTGCAAAAAGTGTGTATGTGTTCCCTGTGCTTGTGTGGGTTTCCTCCAGGTACTCTGGTTTCTTCCCACACTCCAAAGACAGGGACCATGGGGAACAAAAGTAACACACACAGGGACCATGGCGAACAAAAGTAGCCACCCTCCAGAAGGAAGGGCAGTGTCAGCACCAATTCTGAGATGATTTGAGGATCTACAGCTGAGGCCAGGTTGATATCTGGGCGATCCGTGACCGTGTGGGGATCGGATGGTCATGGAATGACACACCACTGCCGATCGCGCTGAAGGTGCCATTGTGAAGCGCGTCCCAGGAACGCCGAAGTCTGCACCAGCCCTGAGTGATACACAAATAAGCTACATTTAGGTAATAGTTAAATTAATAGTTAAGTAAAATGAATGCATTTTTAATATAATCCTGAGTTTAGTGTCACTTTAAGGTAAATTAGAGGATTTTCTCTCTCTAGCACAGCTGCGGTGTTTCAATGGACAGTATTTGTAATTCACTAATCGCTTTCACTTGTTGCTAGAAATAACCTTTAGGTTCTGATTCCTGACTTGGTTTTTGTTTCTAGGTTCCAGAACTGTGTCTACACATACCGAATTTTACGGAATCCCGGGAGTCAGCTGTCAGTTGAGGTCAGTGAGACCATCCTTGCCTAAAAATCTCTCACAGATATATTCAAAACATTCATTTTCATGGGCAATTAAAGCAAATTTGCCCTATAAAGCATGATATGTAATCACTATTTACTGATGTTGTCATAGCGGAGCAATGAGCCATTTTGAAATAATATAAATAATCTCTATTTGATAATGCTACATGCAAGTTGGCACTCTCAGAACTGCTCTGCAGGTAGATGATGGGGCAAAAACCTTTAAAGTGTATGTATAGCCAACATTTGTTTTGTTAGGATAGAGTAGTGAAGAGTTAAAACTAGGGATGCACTGACAGGGCTGCCATCAGGGGTGTACGGCTGGTACCCATGTAAGGGGCTTGTGGGGCCTGGCCCCCCTCAGCCCACTGACAGCGGAGGAGGTAGAGGTGGAGGAGACTGAGCCCCAGCAGCGCCGGTCCGGCGGCGGAAGATGCTGGGTCCTAGCACTGCCGGTCCGCCGGTGGAAGAGGCAGGGCCCCAGCAGTGCCGGTCCGCCGGTGGAAGAGGCAGGGCCCCAGAAGTGCCAGTCTGCCAGTGGAAGAGGCCGGGCCTCAGCAGTGGCAGGTAAGGAGCTGAGTGTGCAGGGAAAGGGACCCTGACCAGCCCTCCTGAGACTCTGCAGAGCCCACCATAGAGACTCTTAGATGGGCTGTACTGGATCTACGGTGTGCTCTGCAGGGTCACTCTCAGGTGGGCTCTACAGGACTTCATGTGGGCTCTGCGGGGCCCCAGGTTGGTCCAGAGTCCAGTGCGTTACTAAGTCCAGAGTCCAGTGCGTTACTAAGTCCTGAGTCCAGTGCGTTACTAATATACTGGCTTTTTATAATTTGGCAGGGATTTATTGCTTAAACCTTGCCCCTAAACCACTATCCCTGCTGTGATATTTTCTGATAAGTTTGTAGGTTATCTGCCAGAAGTAGAGAACAGTCAACAAGCTTACCATTCTCTGTAGGGAGAAATACTTTCTTATTAATTCTTGTGTTATTATTATGTATTTAAGGGAGAAGTATTGGCAGAGTATAATGTACTCTTCCCAATACTTAGAACCGGTTTGTGACACACCAGCTCTGGTGCATTCCAGCACAATTTGCTGCTGGAACGCACTGGAGGGCCTCCTGACTGGCTTCCTCTGTGCAGGGGCGGGAAGAGGCGTGGTGGTACCATCCATGTCAATAGCACCGCTGGCACGCCCCCCGCCCACAGTGCAATCACCCGCACCGAAACACGAGGCACAGGAATGCCTTCCATTCCGGTCCAGTGCGATCTGAAAAAATAGTGCTTGCAGCATTTTTTCAGATTGCATTGAATCGGAATGCAGGCATTGTTTTGCCACACATTCTGGTGCAGGCAATCACGCTGCGGCGATCGCCCCAGAACGCAGGAAGCCGACCGGGATGTGCTTTAGTGCGTTAAAGCAGCGAATCATGCTGGAACGCACCGGAGCTGGTGTGAACCGGCCCTGAAGCCAGAAAAGGTCTGGCTTTACTTTTCTTTAAATGTTGGCCTATTTACATTTTTGTGGCATGGTGCCATGTGCTGACATTGGTAGCATTAAAGGAGAACTCTGGGCAAAACTTTTATTAACCCTTGCAGTGGGGCTACCCCAAGGCAAATCAACTGTTAGCTGCTCATTTTTGTCTAGGTGTTAAAAAAAAGTTATAATAAAGTTATATGAGTTGGCTCCCTGCTTTTCCGGTCTCTAAAGCGTGTCTTCTCCTATGCTGCAGCATTAGAATGTTCTTCAGTGTCCATGTGTCTATACACTGTATATAGAATGTGATGATTTACAGGACCTTAGATTGCTGCAGAGGAGGGAGGGTGAGCCTGGAAGGACCGGTCATAGAACAAGCTGACTCCTCACTTCGGGTAAGTATAACTTTTTTTAGCACCTAGACCATACCAGCAGTTAAAGGAGAATTATGGGAGAATTATGAAAAACACTCATCCCCATAATTTAAGCCGACCTCTGACAATGAAGTTGTCAGAGGTCGGCTTTATTGATCAGGAAGTGGGCTCTATTGATCAATCCTCTCCCTGCGGGGAGGGGTGAGTGCCAGTCACCACTCGCCGCAGGGATTCGTCCCTCCCCCTCCCATCCTCCAGCGCTGACTGGGGGAACAGATGGGAGAGGGGGCGGGCACAGCTGGCTCTGCCTCTCAGCTGTCAATCAGCCAGCAGGATAGTATTGTCGGGAACTATCCCAGCTGTGGTGCCGCTGTGCACTCTCAGCATATCATGGGCAATAGCCCGCTACATACTGAGTTTTGGGTCACCGGAGGACATTAGTATCCTTCTGTGAACCTGAAGAGAACTGTGGACAAAAAAGGTTAGGTCATAGTTCTCTTTTAACCTTTGAAGTGTGGGGGTTGCCCCACTGTAAGGTTTAATAAACATTTTATCTGGAGTTCTTGAAGAGAGTTCATTGCAATGAATAGGCTGCTAATTGGACATGCATCATTTTTTTCAGCCTATGCCAGTGCTTCATCAGCAGGAATGTTTGTGGATATTCTCTCTCTGAAGTCTAACAGTGCTTTTGTTGACTGGTCTCTCCACAATAAACTGCAGCCTGATGAAATTGCTTGCATACTGCTTATGGAGTCTGTAAAATATTTTGGTGCCCTGTTTTTGGTGAAATATTGCACTCTAATGTCGATGGTTTAAATACAAGCTGCCTGGTTACATAGTTACATAGTTACATAGTATTTGAGGTTGAATACAGACATAAGTCCATCAAGTCCAACCTATTAGGATCTCATTCTAGGAGTACCTGTACCCCTGTATATTACGGTCCCTTAAGAAATTGTCCAAAAGTTTCTTGAACAATTCCACATTCTTTGCTGAAATCACCGCCTGTGGCAGTGAGTTCCAGACCCTAACTGATCTTACTGTGAAGAACCCCCTTCGCCCCTTGTGCTGGAATTTTTTTTCCACCAATTTTAGGTGGTGGCCTCTAGTCTTTGTAATGGAGTTAATTTTAAACAGTTTATCGCTAATGTTGCTACCACCATTGAACATTTTGTACATGGAGATCATATCCCCCCTTAATCTCCTCACCTCCAATGTGAACATGTTTAAATTTAGTAGCCTTGTCTCGTAGCTCTGGGCCTCCATACCCCTAATTAGTTTGGTTGCCCTCCGCTGGACTTTTTCCAACTCAAGGACATATTTTCTTAGTACCGGTGACCAGAACTGGACCGCGTACTCCAGATGAGGTCGAACCAATGATCTATAAAGTGGCAAAATTATAGACTTGTCCCTGCAATACATCCCCTTTTTAATACAGGACAAGACCCTGCTAGCTTTGTTTACAGCAGCCTGGCACTGCAAACTACCTTTCAGTTTGTGGTCTACAATGACCCCAATGGTTGTTTCTCCTGTTCAAAATGCGGGTGGTGAAATTGTATAACTAATGTGTGGGTACAATATTTTGCTGCCTTTTTTTCTGGGAAATAAATACACTCTAAAGTTGAATCTTTATAAATTAAAAGTTGCCAGTTGTCTCCCGTCTTGAAGCAGCCTACCAAAGGTGCCTAAATACTGTCTATGGAGTTATTGAATCATTTATCCCTTTCTTATGTAAAATACAGTACTTATACTTAAATGTGGAAGTTTGGGCTGAAAAACTGCACGCAGTCTGTCAAAATGCAGCCTAAGAGATTGAGCAATACTGTCTATACATTATGTAAAATATCCTTTAACAGTGAAAAATAAATACTGTATTTTGGTTTTTACCTCAAAAGCTTTGCAGATATTATTTTTACACTCGTGCAGTGTGTACAATAATCCTTAAATTGTAATGTTAAATATATAAACTTTACTTTTCTGGATACTCCAAAGATAGATGGGCATGTGGCTTGGCCAATCAGGCCTAAAAGAAATTGTGGAATTATTGTGTATGCTGTTTGTGTAATCTAGTGGAATCTGAGAAACCTAGCTTTTATATATTTCTGGGATTCCTCTAAGGCACATATGTCAAACTCAAGGCCCAGGGGCCGAATCCGGCCCACCAGGCCATTTCCTAGACTTCTACTTTCAGATCTAGATATTAAGTTATTACTAAAAGCAGTGATAATCGAATATAGAGGCAATTATGATAAAGATTAGATACATTTATATAGTCTTACAGATACCTTTGAGGGCAACCATAATGTTGATGCGGCCCACAATTAAATTGAGTTCGACACCCCTGCTCTAAGGACAAATGAGGAAGGCAATATGGCTTACAAGAAATTATAGAAATATGGTGCATGCTGTGTATGAGGGACATGTTATTTCAATTAGAACCTGAGAAATATAAATGTCACCTTTTGTTGGGCGTAGGTAAATGTGGATGGGGTATAGCCAATCAGGTCTAAAATCAATTGTGGAAATATTATGTATACTGTGTGTAGCATATTATTTCTTTGCACACTTAACAAAAAAGTTTAATTGATTTTATTGCTCAAATGCTAAATTGGTATGTTGTTTTGACAATATGGCCCATCAGAAATAGTAGAAATAATACAAGCGCAGTGTGCTAAATGCTCCTTCCTTTATACACTCAATATTGTGTATATTTGGCATGAACAGTTGCATGGGTTGTGTCTGATTTAAAATGCCACCTGCTCCAACAGCTGAAATGCAATCTTCCTTTTTTCTGTTTCATATAAACACAGATGTGGATTAGTAGGATGGAAGACTGCATGCTGTGTGTATCCTTCCAAATGCATGCTTCTCCGATTCAGTCCTGACAGGCCCACCAGGCCATTTCCTAGACTTCTACTTTCAGATCTAGATATTAAGTTATTACTAAAAGCAGTGATAATCGAATATAGAGGCAATTATGATAAAGATTAGATACATTTATATAGTCTTACAGATACCTTTGAGGGCAACCATAATGTTGATGCGGCCCACAATTAAATTGAGTTCGACACCCCTGCTCTAAGGACAAATGAGGAAGGCAATATGGCTTACAAGAAATTATAGAAATATGGTGCA